CCCCACCTACCCCCTTAGAACTGGCAGAGCAGAAGGTGTTGGGAAATTAAGACCACAGGATTTACTAATAGCATTAGTCTGGAACAAGGCGTGATGAAGTGAGGATTGTATTCACTCTGTTTGCTTTGTTATGCTGTATGCGATTCCTACTGTCCTGTGCTGTTCTGTAGTAACTCTGTGTGTGTGTCAGTTCTTCTGGGCACTGCACTAGCGCACATCTGGGGATGGGAATTTTGGGTGATACTCTCACTAAGGAAAGGCTGCCCAGCCCAGCACATACACAATGGTTTAGACTGTTTTGTAATCTGAGCCTAGGTGGAAGATTCAATCAGGTCTTTTGCCAGGGAAGCTAGACAAAGGAGGAGGCAGGGCTGGGACTGGTTGCTGGGTAAGTGAGGGAGTCTCCACTGGCTTAGGATACAGGGAGTCTAGCTGGCTTGGGAGGTAGGGGGCTCTGGGCCCCCCATCCTCAAGATGGAGCATGATGACTGCTCCTGGTTCCTGTGCTAACAAGTCTATGCTAAGCTGAATCTCTCTGAACCAATAAACCTTCTGCTCTACCTGCTGAGAGTCACATCTGGCTGTGGATGGGGATACAGGGCCCGGTGGTTTCCCACACTCCGTGACACAAGGCATGCTGGGGAATAAATTCAATCTATCCTTTCCCACACACATGGGGAGAGATTTGGAAGGAAGTAGCTTGTGTTGACGGCCTCTCCTGACAGTTGTGTAAACACACTGGCTACATCTAGACTACATCCCTTTTTCGTAAAAGGGATGTAAATTAGACGTATCGCAATTGCTAATGAAGCGGGGATTTAAATCTCCCCCGCTTCATTAGCATAAAAATGGCTGCCGCTTTTTTCCCGCACGGAGCTTTGTCGGAGAAAAGCGCCAGTCTAGATGCTGATCTTGCGGAAAATAAAGCCTTTTCCGAAAGATCCCTTATCCCGCTATGAAATAAGGAATAAGGGATCTTACGGAAAAGGCTATATTTTCCACAAGATCAGCGTCTAGACTGGCGCTTTTCTCCGGCAAAGCTCCATGCCGAAAAAAAGCGGCAGCCATTTTTATGCTAATGAAGCGGGGGAGATTTAAATTCCCACTTCATTAGCAATTGCGATACGTCTAATTTACATCCCTTTTATGAAAAAGGGATGTAGTCTAGACGTAGCCACTTTGTTTAAGGGATTTTGTGGAATCCTTTGTATACGCGACTGAGATGCACTTTGAATAATTGTCAGAACAAATGTTTGAGAGACTGGAAGTATTTTACTACCTTCTTGGGAGTGAACTGAACCAAAGCCTATTGCAAGGGGAATTTTTTTTTTTCTGGTTACAAATCTCAGACCTCTATTCTTTTGCTGGGCTTGGTATAGCCACTAATTTGCTCAGGTTAAGGTCAACTTTAAAAATGACAAATTTCATATTGATAACTTCTCTGGGATTTCACAAGATTCTGTTTGTAGTCATGTTATTTCATAATGGCACATTTTATATAACATTATTTCTCTCCTTCCCCTCCTATGTTAGTTTTCATTCCCACAAACTTTTCACTTTATTTCCTGAGAAAGTCAATCTTGTAGCATAGTTACCATTGCTGCAATAGGACTGTGGGTAAATTCTTCTTATGGTGGCAGAGGAAAGCATGAAAACATTACTTAATTGTACCCTAAAAGCTCAAACCAGAAGGCAGATAACCCCAAATTTATTATTTTTGAAGATCTTAGTTGTAATACTGGATTTTGTACAGTCCTGTGACTTCTTTAATGACTTCTCTGTCCTTAGAACTGATTCACAGCTTATTCCTTCACTTATAAATTTAGAGGATCAATATAAAAATAGATTGTTACTTTCAAGCACAATAAATAACCCAAACACCAGCTCTTTAGAATTTCCGTTGAGACTTAATCTTCAGAGAAGACAAATAGGAAGAAAAATGACTGTAGAAAGAACATAAATAAGATTTACAGAAGTCACTTAAAAAAATTCAGAACAGCAATTGCAGCTAATATCAATTCATTTAGAGCAGGCTGGCTCTCTCCGTGCCAAAGTTTCAAGTGTATAGTTCGTATTAATAGGAAGCAACATCAATACATTTCTATTCAATTTTAAAGCAGTTTTTTCATAGTATTGACTCGTGGATCAATGAAGAGCTTGAGATGACAATACAGTGTTAAATAAGCCTATCTGGTGATACATTCTATAGTGTATTTAAAATAATCAGTCACAAAAGAAAAACCTTCTCAAGCCCTGAAGCCTAATAAAATCCTGCAGTTCCAAATCTAGGCAAGAGCCTGGATCAATTTTAACACTATCCATAAGGAGTCATACATCTGGCTATCTGAAATCTTTTTACTAAGGAAAACAGTAGGATCATCATCTTTGCAGAAGCACAACAAATTTGCTGTTCATTTAAACCAGGGGTCGGCAACCATTTCAAACCAAAGAGCCAAACTACATCAAAATTCACAAGTGGTCAACAGAGCCATATAAGAATGCCCATTTGCATGACTGAAAATATGCAATTTAATATTTATGACATGATTAATAATGGCACAAATGAAATATTGTACTCACAAACTTCATTTAATGGGACATCTGCTGCTGCATCTTTTCACACATTTCTTCCAAGTTTAAATCATAACTGGTGAAATCCAACTTCATGCACACATTCAGGCTGTCTTCTGTTAATCTTATGGCAGGGGCTGGGAATGTGGGGGTGCAAGAGTATGGGAATTTGTGGGTAAGAGGGGCTCAGGGTAGAGGCTTTGGATGTATGATGGGCTCAGGACTGGGGTGTGCGGGAGTGCAGGAGTGTTATGATGCTGCAGCCAGAGGGAGGCTGGGCCCCAATTGGGGGGTTGTTGGGCAGGCTTCATTTTTAAAATATTATGTCCAATGCAAAAGGTTTCAACACTGTCTTTATTTGTGGCAAGGGTGGGGAACCTTTTTTGGGTTAGTGCTTAGGGGCCACTGTCCAATAGAAAAACAATCAGTTGGGGAGCACACGAGTAAAAACCAAAAAAGCCATTCCTCCAGAAACCATCAACTCTCACTGATGTGGCCCCCAACTGAGACACCTCCCTCCCCTGGTACTTCAGCCTCATGGGCGTGGGGAGGGAGACATCCAGGGAGGACTGAGGATCAAGGTTTCAGGCCAGGTTAACTCTTCTGAGGTTCCAGGGTTAGTGGATTTTGTATCCCTCACTCCAGGCTCTGGGGTGGAGCCAAAAATGAGAGGTCCAGTGTGTGGGACAGAGCTGCCAGTGAGTAGGATAGGGGTACAGATTCTGGGTGGGAAGTAAGGTGCAGGGGCAAACTGGGAGTAGGTGTCTGGCTGGGGGTGGGGGAGGCAGGAGCAGAGTGTGCGTGGGTGTCTGGCCAAAGAGGAGGGGGCTGAAGCAGGGGGCAGGAGCAGGATGCTGGTGGGTGTCTGGCCTGGGGTTTGGATTGTGACTTGGTGCAGGGGATTGCAGTGCAGTGTCTGGGAGGGGTATGGGCTCAGGATGGGGGCAGAGTGTTTGAGTTACATGGGAAAGGGGGGCAGAGGGTTGGGGGGAGAGACTGGGGTGCCAGAGGCAGGCTCTGGCTAGGACACTTACCAATGAGACTTTCACCTCAGTACATTTCTCCAGCTCCAAAGCCTGCCCCCACAAGCTGCCTGGCCATGTGCTCAGTGACTAAAAACCTGAGGGGAGTAGTGATTGGTGGTTCCCACGCTGCCTGTTTTTGAAATAGGCAGCTGCCAATGGTCAAAACTGGCCAATGGGATTGTGCTAGGGGCGGGAGCAACCATGAGGCACTGCTACCCCTTTCCCTCCTTACTCATAGCACGCAGAAAACAAATGGCCCATAGCAGTTTTTCTGCATGACGCGTGGGGGCAGGGCAAACAGGGGAAGCTTCCTGGAGGCTCCCTGTTGCCTCCATGAGCCCAATCCGGCCAGCGCAGGGTATTTTGCTCCAGCCTGCGGTAGCGCCAGCGTGGGCTGCCTGCTGACAGGGGGAGCAAGGGAGGGTTGGGCTTGAGCTCCAAAAAGCTGTATCTGGCTCCCACCCGAGCCATAGGTTGCCAATCCCTGATTTAAACGAACAGCCTCATTTCCTTTAGCCACATGTTAAGCAGTGAGAGCTTTTCTTACAGCCCTGGATCCTGGTATCAAGCACGTCCATCTCTGCACTGGAACTTTTCAAGAAAAAAGACTCAGGTCACCAAAAGCAGCTCAGGCACAATGCTGTAGAGATAGGGCCCTTTAATTCTAACATTGACTCGCGCAATGCCCCAGGGGGTACGGCATGTTAGGTGTATTTACTTTTCACTTTTGCAGATCTGAATCGAATCATTGTAAGTGAAAATGTATTTCGTTGTATCCTAGCCTCACTTGTGAACACAACACAGTGACATGGTTATCTGTCTCTCTGAAGGTGAGGCCCAATGACAAACTAGCGCCAATGATTTTAGGAATTATTTTTTGACAGAACTGTGTAAGTAGTGCTTCCCAACCTTTTCTAAACCACACACCTGCACAAAGTATGTTTCCTCAAACTCTGTACAAATGTCAAATTTGTTCCTGTGAACTAGACATGGCTATTTCAGTTTCTGGCTTTTAGTGTTGCTTTCGTCACTAACCCATCAAAAGGGTTGGTTAGAACATCAACTACTTCTTCTTAGGAAAGTGGCCAATGCCCCCCCCCCATTGACTAATTAAAATGGAAGCAATTTATATGAAAATATTTAAGCCTCTTCTGTTGTATTTCCAGTCCTCTAAAGATTGCAAAAGTCCTCTGAATAAATGAGATGCTAGAACCTGCCAATCTTGAGATCTCAAAGTAAAAAAGAAAGCTGGGGTAAAAAAGATGTTGCAGCTTCAGGAAGATGGATTATTACTCATAATGAAGTAATAAAGGGTACACACTTTCTGGAAATTCCCATTTAAAATGGATGAAAAAGCCCTCACTATATTGGATTGATGAAAACAAAACAACATAATGAAGAATAGTCATTTATTATGTTTTTTTAACAAAATCACACTTAAAATATATTTGCACACAAGAATACACTTAGGAACATTTCAAATGTCACAAACGCAAAGAAAAATACTTCTTACTATAACTTTTTCCAAAAAATTAAAGTTTGCAAATAGTTTATCTTTCTCTACAGGCTTTCCCCCTCCCTCCCTTTTACAGGAACACACAGATCTTCTTTGTACATTATATGCATACTTACAACCACACAAAATGTAGGGCTAAGTTCCGCAGCCTTGCTGCAGACAAAACTTCTGTAGCAAATTTGCCTGCATTGGGACCGCAGAATGAAAATAAAGTACATTAAAATTCAGTCATTTTTATAGTTAAGTTTTCCAGAGATAAGGGTGACATTCTGCATAAATATTTAATCAAATAATCTTACACTTTATTTTAACAAGTATTTACAACATATCTAATAAAGATCAATACATCCTGCATAAAGGTGACCTCAAGGATATATTGTTGCTACCATGCTACAATTTACACAGAAGAAGTATGAAGGCAGTTGCTAGTTTTGGAAGGCTTACACCTTTTATTGATATAATTTAAGGAAATTAACCTATGGAAGGCAGAAGAGGTCAAATGATTTCAGTGCAATTAGTCAGTGAAATTACCCATTCATGACTTGTAAAAAGTACACCATGGTAATCAGTCTGAAAGGCCTTGGCTCTTGAATCTTCAGCTACTTAGTTCTTTAAGAACTATGTCTTCTTTCCACATTTGCAAGTCATCATGTGTCAGTCCTCTACTGGTGATAGGAAGAAGTTGCATAGGGACTTTCCTCCTCCTCCTCTCTGTGAGGGGGAAAAATAACATGATAGTTTAGGAAAATGTATACTTGACATATGCCTCTTTATCAGCAAAATGCTGTCATAAGGCAGACATATACATCTGTCCATGAAGAAACACAATGACCTCAATTACTTTCTATAGTTGTATCTACATTACTATGTATTTTATACAGTAATATTACAGATACTAAGAATGGCTTCAATACAAATATGAAATTAAAAGTAGGTTTAAAAAAGCAGTAGTAGCACAATACTCTTCATCTAAACCTGTGCTAGGAAATAGGAATAGTGAGCTAAACTCTACACTCATTACATCCCCAACTCTGCAGGAAGCCACATGAGGGATATGTGAGAGTGTAGGACCGGTCCTATTTTCAGTGATACTGTCCTTTCCTGCCTTCCTAGATCACTGGTGTGAATAATAAGACTGTATATATTCCTGGACAGAGGGTGTTGTACATTATTTTTGGAGGAGTTCTGGAATCCTAGTACTAGGTGCTGTGAAGACATGAAGTAAGGATAGTCCACGCCCCCAAAGAACTTACAGGAATACCCTTAGGCTAGCTAATGCTGGGAGCAGAAAGAAGCAAACTTGTAACCCAGAATGATTTGCTGCGCATAAACCTCCATCCTACTCTGTCTAGCTACTGAGGGCATATGTACCATGAAATAATTTCAAAATAACTTATTTTGAAATAATAATTTTGAAATGGTGTGTCCACACTAAAGGGAAGCATCAAAATTAGTTCAAGGCAGGCTCCCTTAATGTGGACACGCTAGCTCAGACTTACAGCCCCAGAAAGCACTTCAGAGTCATTCGTTCGAATTACTCTGGGGAGTAGTTATTTTTACATAGCAACACCAGAGCGTCCATACTACCGCTATTTCCAAATAACAATTATTCCTCATGGAAAGCAGGAGTTATTATTTTGAAATAATCAGCCCATTGTTTCAAATTAATGTGCTTGGTAGTGTGGACATTCTGCTTGTTATTTCAAAATAAGGGGAGTATAGACCAAGACTAAATTGGCTATTTTCCTTTACATTATTCACAGACCAGGATACAGGGATGAGAGGACATCTTTATTCCTGGTTTAATCTCCCCCTGCCTCCCTCTCCCAAAAATATAAGCAACCTAAAAAAAAAAAAATCCAACCATACGCACACACAAAACCACTTCAGCTGGTGATGAGAGAAAATGCAAAATACATTAATGCCCTCTAACTCTATCTAGTCAGAGCATTCTTTTTAGCCCATTCCCTCAGTAAAGGTTATATTAAAAAAACAAAATTCACTCTGAAGAGCAAATTGTAGACGAAGGCAACTGGTTCAATGATTTCCATAAACCTTTACATCTCAAATCAATTTGATTATGAGGAGAAGGCTAGCTCATTAAAATCTTGACCCATTTGATTTTGCTGATAAAAACAAAAGACTTTGTTAGCTTTCAAATTTAAAAATGCAATAGCAGCTAAACAGAAGAAGAGTAGGAGATCCCAAAGAAGAAAATATTTTTTCTGTGATACTTAAAAGGAACAGACTATTCTTCAGTTCTTTTTGTGTCATAATTGTATTATTCCTGGATGACATCAAACTGAATGTAGTTCAATTGGCAACACTCTCACTGAGGAACCACATACCTTTTACACTACACAATAAATGAAGGAAATTGAGAAATGAGAGTCAAAGCAAACAGTCTGAGAGGGCAAGAAATCAGTATGGCTGACATTTGGATTTAGTTGGTAAGGGCTTGTCTCCACTTACCAGGAGACTGATTCTGGGGAAATCAATCTAATAGGTTTCAATTTAGCAGGTCTAGTAAGGACCTGCTAAAATGACTGCTTGTGGCACCCCCATCAACTCTAGTACTCCACTAGGTCCCAGGAAAAAAGGAAAGTCAACGGGAGAGTTTCTCCCGTCGACCTCCCACAGTGGGGATGCTGTGGAAACTTGACCTAAGGTACAATGACTCCAGCTTTGCTATTCATGTAGCTGGAATTGCATACCGTGGATCGATTTTCTCCCTCTGTGTAACACAATAGTCTCACTGTGCTGTTACTATTAATATTTATAGGGCACTAACAGAGACTGGAGCAAGTGCTCTAGCTAAATGCAACCTATGCTTTTAGCCAAACAAGTTACTGGATTCATTACAAAGCTAAGTGTGAAAAATTTATGGCCTGTGATATACAGGAGATCAAACTAGATGATCTAATGGTCTAAACGCTACCAAAAGTTACAAATATTTTTTGCTGAAGAGACTTTTTTTTTTTTGCCCACTTATACACTGGCTAGCACAAAGGAGAGCTAGGTGTTTTTTTAATACACAATTTAAAAGATGCTAGTTTGAACACCAGGTATCAGAGTGGTTGTTGTGTTAGTCTGGACCTGCAAAAGCGACAAGGAGTCCTGTGACACCATATAGACTAACAGATGTATTGGAGCATAAGCTTTCTTAAGCAAAGATCCACTTCGTCAAATGCATGCAGTGGAAATTTCCAGAGGCAGGTATAACTATGCAGGCCAGAATAAGGCTAGAGATAACAAGGTTAATTCAGCCAAGGAGGGTGAGGCCCACTTCTAACAGCTGCTGTGGAGGTGTGAACACCACAGAGGAGAAACTGCTTTTGTACTTGGCTAGCCATTCACAGTCTTTGTTTAATCCTAAACTTATGGTGTCAAATTTACAGATGAACTGTAGCTCAGCTGTTTCTCTTGGAAGTATTTTTGCTGCCTTTAAATCTGCTATTGTGTGTCCTGGGAGACTGAAGTGTTCTCCTACAGGTTTTTGTATATTTGTCCTTGACTGAATTAACCTCCTTATCTCTAGCCTTATTCTGGCCTGCATAGTTATCCCTGCCTCTGGAAATTTCCACTACATACATCTGACGAAGTGGGTCTTTCCCCATGAAAGCTTATGTTTCAATACATCTGTTAGTCTATAAGGTACCACAGGACTCCTTGTTGCTTTAGTTTGAACATGTGCAGCAAAAATATGCATATGTCATAAGGCATGATCAAATCATTTTATTTGCATGGGATGGCTTTGGTTATGCAATTATGCTACTGTGCAGCCTGGGGAGTATCACTGAGTATACACTATTCAGAGCTCGGAGCAGCAGCAGTGGCACTGAAGCTGCCTCTGCAGACTTATTTAGTACTGCATTGATTACATTAGGCTCCTATTTACACAATTAACTTTGCTATCAGAAGAGCAACAAACTCTTTTAAAAAAATCAAAGGCTGAGTTTTACAGAAGTTGATGGGACATGTCCAGGAAAGATTTCCTACTTCTCCTAGGCCAGACCTGGGTAAAATACAGCCCGCCAAGCCACCAGATCCAGCCCACGGAGGCAGCGGGGAGCCCAAGGCAGGCTCCCCAGCTTGCCCCACAGACCCGCACACTGTGCAGAAACGTGGCTGTAGGACTCCGTTTCTGTTTTAAAACTGGAAGGAAGGAGGGAGGTTTTAGGAGCTCCCCCCATCCCTTCCCCAGCACATTCCCACTGGCCATTTTCTGGCAGAAACCCGCCAATG